CATTCTCTTCTAGGGATTTTGGGCACTCATGCACACATTCCTGGTGTGATTTTCAAGCCGCCAGGTCAGGAACTCAACCAGTCAGCCATGTGGGCATCCAGTGCCTTAACCACCACGCCACCTGCTGGCACCCTGGCCCCATTTTCCTTATGCTAGTCCTCAAGGGGAAAGTGGCCTGCAATGACCTGGGACTATGGCAGGGCTTTCCTGAGCCTTCAGAGCAGGGCCTGGGTCCCCTCTAAAAGGAACGTCCCTTCTCCAGCTTCATGTTCCTCGACTTCCTCCACCACCCGCCTACCCTGCCACCACCAGCTTAGCCCTGGGTCGGGGACAAGTGGCTCTGATTTCTACATAAAAGCCACAGCCATAGTAACGGAAGCCAGGATTTCCTGTGCCTTCCATGTGCCGAGTGTGGGCATGTGGGCACGTGCTATGGTTAGAAGCATCCCGATTCTTTCTCTTTCATTCTTTTGTTTTTCTTTCTTTCTTTGCAGAGGGTGCATGCACTTGCCAGAGAGATTGACAGAGAGGCAGAGAGAGAAGATGGAAAAGGCACCTCCCAACAGGGCCTGGTCACACTGCCAACCTTTCTCATTCATTTCTCCTTTCTGGATTTTGGGCAGGCAGGCACAAATGCCTGGTGTGTTTTTTAAGCTACCCAGTCCAGGACTTGAACTACACAGTGGGCCATGTGGGATCCAGTCACCTTAACCACCATGCCACGGGTTAATCCCCCAGCCCCTGTTTCTCTTAACAGCTTTATTCACATACCATACAGTTGAGCCTTTTAGGGTGTACGTGGCTTAGGCGCTGTTGTGCAACCAGCACCACAATTACTGGAGGCCAGCACCCCACAGAGAAAGCCCGTGCCCGTGAGCAGTCACTTCCAACTGTTCTCCCAGTCCAGCTACAGCGTAGCTCGTATGAGGAGATCATTCCTTTTTACTGCCAAACACTACTCCATTGTTTGGGTACACCACGTGCAATTTCACCACTCATCGGTTGATGTGCATTTGAATTGTTTCCACTTTTTGGCCATTACGAATAATGCTGCTATGAATATTCACACACAAGTTTTTGTGGGTGGTATGTTTTTGGTTCTAGAAGTGGAATTGTGGGGTCTCAGGGTAACCTATTTTAACATTCCTAAGCAGCCACGTCCTTTTACATCCCCACGAGCAGTGTGTGAGGGTCCTCTCTTCTCCACATCGTCAACAGCCCGCATCGCGTCCCAGTGTGCGTTAAGTGGTGTGTCATTGTGGTTCTGGGTAAAGTTCCCTGGGGGGCATCCCTATTATACAGAAAAGGGAAATGAGGCTCAAAGAGGTGTAGAGCCCTGAACCAGGGATAGGCAAGGTAGGATTCTAACCAGTGGGGCCAGAAACTCTCTCCAAGGAGGCAGGAGAGCCTCTATGGGAGAAGAGATGAGATGCAGGCCCTTGGCCTGTTAGATGAGATCTCGTGGAATCCCAGAATCTCCTGTGGCAATTCTGCTTCTCTGCTGCCTGGAACATGGCAGGTGCTCAGGACCCGTGAATGTCCTTATCGCTCTTGCATGAGCTAGACCTGTTCGTAGTCTCCCATAGGGACCTGGGCCTTCCAGGGCCAGCCTTTCCCTTGGATGTTTCTAGAAGAGACCATGTTCGTTGAATAGAGACCAGCCATTGGCCTGAAAGGGCCATGGTCATAGATCTCCCATTCTGCAACAGGCCCAGAGCCCCGCCTACTTCACAGCCTGGCTTATTCACGTCATCTTTCCACCCATTCACCCATTTATCCTCCTTCTCTGACCCTCAGTGTCCTCATCTGAAAGCAGAGGTTGTGCCCCTTGCCTCGGGGCTGCCCTGGTAATCAGCTGACAGCTCATGCCCAGAGCCAATGTCACCCATCATCCCTATAGTTCCCAGTCCCTGGGTGGTGCCCGTGGTTTCTGCAGGTCCCACAGAGGGACCAACCGGGCACGCTGCCTATGAGGGCTTGACCTGAAAGCCCCAGACCTCCACTTTCTCAGGCAGAGTCTCAGGAGGACCATGGCAGGTGAGACTCTCAGCTTGGATGAGCCAGGAGGAGTCCAGAGCCCAGAGCATGGTGGAAAAGGGCATTTAGGCCCCAAGCAGGACAAACAGACTTTAGGGCTAAAGGAGATCCGAGTTCAGCAGCTACGTGACCTTGGGCAAGCTAACTTCTCTGAGCCTTTTCCTCAGCTGTGATCAGATGGTGATACCTCACAGGAAGAAGTGAGACCCCACAGTGCCTAACCCTCCCGCCTGGCGAAGCCAGCCCTGAGCATCTTGTATCCATCGTGGCTCAAGTTCTGGACATGGCATCTTGGAAAACGCACCAGGTGTGTGTGTGTAAGTGCCCAAAATCCCGAAAGGAAAAGGGAGGAGAAGGGATTGAGACACAGCCATCCCCATGGGGGCTGATTTCTCCTCCACTTTCTCAGGCAGAGTCTCAGGAGGACCATGGCAGGTGAGACTCTCAGCTTGGATGAGCCAGGAGGAGTCCAGAGCCCAGAGCATGGTGGAAAAGGGCATTTAGGCCCCAAGCAGGACAAACAGACTTTAGGGCTAAAGGAGATCCGAGTTCAGCAGCTACGTGACCTTGGGCAAGCTAACTTCTCTGAGCCTTTTCCTCAGCTGTGATCAGATGGTGATACCTCACAGGAAGAAGTGAGACCCCACAGTGCCTAACCCTCCCGCCTGGCGAAGCCAGCCCTGAGCATCTTGTATCCATCGTGGCTCAAGTTCTGGACATGGCATCTTGGAAAACGCACCAGGTGTGTGTGTGTAAGTGCCCAAAATCCCGAAAGGAAAAGGGAGGAGAAGGGATTGAGACACAGCCATCCCCATGGGGGCTGATTTCTATCTTTCCCTCTCTCTGTCCAGCAAGCATGCACACCCCATCACAAACAAAATTCTTGTCGCCAGTAGAATGGACCCGTTGATAAGCTGTGGAATAGTCAGAGTGAAATATTATACAGCAATTCACGTGCACAAATGGCAGGGCCAGCTGTGGTCACACACAATTAAAGACTGCTACTCATTGGGCTGAGGCCTCACGGGAGGCCCGGGTTCAATTCCCGGCTCACTCTAAAGGCCAGGTGCGACACTGGGTGCCTGCGGCCCCTGCTACTTGAAAGACTGAGACAGGAAGATCACCTTATAAGGAAACCTTGTCTTAAAAAAAAAAGAATAAATTAGAGATACATGTAACATGGATGACATTCAGAAATATATAGAGATGCATAGAAAGATATGGTATGATCCCATGGTACAGTTCAAAAAAAGAAAAAAACTCACATATATTGTTTAAAATGACATACTCACAGGAAGTAAGACTGAAAAACCCTTAATGTGATTACCCTAAAAGTCAGGATGGCGGTTACCTTTAAGAGGGAGGGGAAGACACAGGTGCTTGGGGCTGATCTGTTCTGGGGCACTATTCTTGGTAGGTGATGGCTACACAGGTATTTGCTTTATAATTATTCACACGACCAAGTAAACATGCTCTATGCACCTTCTGAAGGTGTGACTATCTCAGAATCAAAGAATAACTCAAGCGCCTGGAAGTCAGACTGGAGCCAACTGCAGTCTGGTTTTCCTTCGCCCTCTGCCTGGACCCTCACCCACTCTGCGCTGTGCAGCCGCGGGCAGAGCAGCAGCTAGCAGAGGCTGGGGTGGAGTGGGGTGGCCACCACCCGCTTCCTCACCCACACAAATGCCCCAGAAAGACACTGCCCTGAGATTTTTTTTTTTTAAATCGCTTTATTCAGGTTGGCTGGTAGTCACGGATTGGATCATGTGTACGGGGCAACCCACTCACCTGGAGCCAAAGCCCCCGGCCTCTCCCACATCCTGACTCCGTTGCTGAGGGGCCAGAGGTCTGAGCCAGTTCTGAGGGGCCCAATAGAAATATTTACAAATCACCAGGAGTGGGCGTGCCCGTGATCGGGACTGGTACTGGGGGTGGGGGAGGGTTGGCTTCCAACAGCCCCAGGCCCTTGGGTGGTCTTGACACAGACCCCAAGAGGGGACTGGGATGTTGGGGGCTGGCAGAGGGGGGCTCCTAAGAGAGCCTCGAAGACCCTCAGAGGGGTCCTGCTGGTGCAAAACTCTGCATGGGGCCATGGGTCAGAGGGCAGGGCTGTGGGTCAGAGGGCAGGGCCTTCCCGTCTGACTTGCTGTGTGATGTGAGGGCAGAGCTGCCTGGTCCCTGCTCCCTGGAGGTCAGTCAGGGAGCTATTTTTAGGCATAAGAAGGCTGAATAGGAAGGCCCCATCAGGAGGCCTCCCAGGGCCCTGGAGGTGACCCTGCTAATGGGCCAGAGCCCTAGGAAGGCCCTTCTGGGGAGTTGTACCCGGTTCTTCACCAGGGGAGAGGCCCTAGTTCTGCTCAGAAGATTCCAGTTCAAATTCAGGGAGAGAGTCACTGTCCACACCCCCACGTCCAAGCGGGGCATGGTAGGAAGGAGGGAGGTGACCGGCTCAAGAAAGGTTGGGGACAAGCAAGCAAAGCAAAACACGACTCCACTGAAGCTGGTGGCAGAAAGGGAGCAGCCCGGCCGGCCTTGGCCCCGCCCCAGCAATCGGGCGGTCGTCCCCTTGGCGCCCAGGGCCACCTTCTCCGAGCCAGGTCGCCTTGGGGTCTGAAAGGGAATGAGGGGTGGGGCCTGCATGCTGAGCAAGGGGTGGCGGCAGAGGGCCAACGTGGCGGCCACAGGCGGCCTCGGGGAGTGCAGGCGGCTGGAGCAGGCAGTCCGTCCCCAGCCCGGCGGCTCCTCATGCACTCTGTACAGCGAC